CCGAACTGCAAATGCAATAATTCTAAAATCTAAATTCGCGCTGAAATATTTGTGGAAAAAAGAGAATTAATTTTGTTCGACCATCGATATTTTTCATAGCAATTTTTCTCTGTAAAAAAAGAATTTTGGACATCGAACAATAACATCAATGGCTTGTTTGAGTTCGAGCAACAGAAATAAAATTAAATTTTTGTTGCACTTTGATGGTCTCTTTTCGCTTCTCCGAACTGCAAATGCAATAATTCTAAAATCTAAACTCGCGCTGAAATATTCTAGGAAAAACGAGAATTAATTTTGTTCGACCGTCGATATTTTTCGTAGCAATTTTTCTCCGTTAAAAGAGAATTTTGTACGTCGAAAAATAATATCGATGGTCGCCTGGGAGGCTCCGTTATTTCCGCGCGGACGAGCTCGCCGACCGGTCGAGTTTCCGCTCGAAGGACGCATCCGTATGCAAAGACGTTCATTTTCGATTCGAACGAGCATGACCTTTGTATCAAAGATCGCGATGGCGTTCGACGTATAACTACTTCCGATACGGAAACTTCCTGCCCCTACCAGAGGCATCGAGGCGGACGTGGAACGGTCCCGCGTGGTCTTTCAACCGCGTGCAAAATGGTCCCAGCGTCTGGCGAGACTCGATTGCAGTTCGCGACGGAACAAGTTCCTTTCCTCGAAGTTCGGTTTCCCTCTCGTCGCGGTGCTCCTTTGATTCGTTTCCACGGGAAAGTTTTAGTTTCGACACGGCAAAAAGAAACGACCTTCGTTTCGCTAAACGTCGATCTCTCTTTGTGAGACATTAAAATGGCGGAAGTTGCGGGGCAATCGTTTAAGTGTCCAAGTGCTCCGTGGACCAACGACTTCGGTATTATTAATAATTACCGTCGTGTTTGTCGATGAATTAAAAACGAGAGCTCAAAGGGAACCGGAAACTTTGCTAACCTGTTCCAACCACTGAATGCTAGCTGCTTAAATTGTTCTGGACAGCCACAACTTTCTGTAAGCAATGTAGATTTTATAGGCTGAGTAGAAATTTTATAAATATTATAAGTATTATGGTATATAAAAATTTATTTATCTTTTCTCGAATCTTCTTAAAATTACTAAATAAAAGACAAAATTTATTTTTCATTAAATTTTGTGGTTGAAGTTACATCAATTTTGAATTTTTCTGTTGTAAATGAATTTTTAAAATGAGTTATTCCCAACACATGAGATTTGAAAACTTTTGACGAACGTAAAAATAATATTTTACAATTTTATCTTGTCATACGATGTATAATATTTGTGTTCAAAGAATCGCAATTTAAATAGTTCCACGTTTCTCTATTATTTCTTTTTCTATTTGCTAAATCACTGAGCAGAATCGAAGGCCTCGAGTGAACTGTTCGAGAATTTATTCGACACTGTTTAACGATAAATTAATTCCTCGAATGTATAGTAATCTTATCGGGATAGCGAAGCGCAACGTTTCCAGAGGATCGAAGCGCGGCAAAGGAATCGTGGTATTTCGACAGAGGCAGCCCCTAATAATAGAATTTCGTGGACGATCAATCGGAAAGCAATTAGCGGGGACTATCTCCAGCGAACTTCTTTCGCGAGCTTCCCTCTGAATTTCCTGTCGCGTCTCGTCCCGGCGAAAATGTTGTTAAAGTGTCCGTTGTTCCACGGGAATAGTTAGTTTGGACGCTGCTAATTTCCAGCGAAAAACGAACGGACGCTTCGAAACGTACGTTGCATTATGCAACGCTCGATTCGCGCTGAAAATATTATCTAAATACGGATTTCGCTCTGCACCGCGAGTTGGGCGAACAGAAATATATTCGACTCAATATTTAATTACGAACTAAATACATTGGTAGCCGATAGAGACGAATTAATTAATACGAATAATTATAAATACAGGGTGTTCGACCACCCCTGGGAAAAATTTTAATGGGAGATTCTAGGGGCTAAAATAAGACGAAAATCAAGAATACTAATTTGTTGATGGAGGTTACGTTGAAAAGTTATTAACGTTTAAAGTTCCACCAGTACTGAATTTTTTTCTCGAAAGTGGGTAGGATTTCGAGGGTTTGTGTATTCACCAAAAATTATTGTAATTGACCCCTGCAAACGAAAATAATTTTTTCAGAACGATTTGAAACACATGAAATTTCAGGGAAAATTGTCATATATGGTCAGACATTAGATTTTCGGTATTTTTTTCTCGAAAGTGGGTAGGAATTCGGGAGTATGTGTAATGACCAAAAATAATTGTAATGGACCCTCACAACCGAAAATAATTTTTTTAGAATGATTTGAAATTTTTTAATTTTGCCGAAAAATCTCTTCACTTACTGAATTTTTTTCTCGAAAATGCGTAGGAATTCGAGGGTATGTGTATTCACCAAAAATGATTGTAATGGAACCCCACAATCGAAAATAATTTTTTTAGAATTATTTGAAATTTTTTAATTTTGCCGAAAAATCTCTTCACTTACTGAATTTTTTTCTCGAAAATACGTAGGAATTCGAGGGTATGTGTATTCACCAAACATGATTGTAATGGACCCCCACAACCGAAAATAATTTTTTTAGAATGATTTGAAATTTTTTAATTTTGTCTAAAAATTGCAGTACCTGCTCGAATTTTTTTCTCGAAAGTGAGTAGGATTTCAAGGGTTTGTGTATTCACCAAAAATGATTGTAATTGAGCCCCGCAAACAACAATAATTTTTTCAGAATGATTTGAAATTTTTTAATTTAATTTTCTAATAACTTTCTCTCAGATAGATACGAATTAACACAAAAGAACACCAAAATACCACGATTCTAGCACACTGGAATCTTAAAAATTCTTCCTAAGCATCCAAAAATGTTATACTTCCTTTCACGTTACCAAAAGCATTAGATCCTTCTCAATTCTCTTCGACAAGTCGCTGTTGAATAAAAAACCTATAAAAATGTATTCCATCGAGGCGCTAGTTTCGAAATCAGCTGTTTACAGCGATTTCCACGGACAATAAAGCATCCCCCGCCATTTCGTAGAAGATTTTCCGGTTCCCTGTTCCGAGGAACGCGATTTTGACGCAATCGACGGGACTCTGGGGCTCGGATTGAATTCAGGCCATTGCAAATAGTGGTGGGGGATAAGTGAATGAAGAAAAGAAAAGAAAAGTGAAACGCGAGGAAAGTGTCTCGACGACGCCTCCCGTCGAAATTGAACGTCGGATCGCGCGTTTATCGCGCCCGAACGGACCCCCGAGGTCCGTTTTTTTTCCCCCCCCCCCAGGTCGGTCCGCCATCGCGATCCGCAAAAGAAGCAACGCGAGAATTCACAGCGAACGTAAAACGTCGCGAAATTTTCTTGCTCGCGATCGGACTCGATCCACGGGCCGCGTGCTGCGGACGTTTTCATCGCCTCTCGGATGAAGAATTTCGCTTCACGCCACGGCACCTCCTTCTGCACGTTATTTGTCACGTACAGGATGTCGACACGATGCAAACGCCGCTAGAATTCACGCAGGAAAACGTTGCGCCGAGTGTTTCGCGAAATAAATCCATTGCATAGAATATTTCTCGTTCGAGAAAAATTAGTCAGATTTTTTTAGGGACAATAACATACTGGATGATCTATGTATATCATTTGTTCGATCTATAACGTGTTTGCACACATACAATTAAATAGATTGAGAATTTTATTTTTGGCCTCGATGTCGATTCTATTTTGAATTCCTTTTATTATTAAAGAGACCGTGATATATCCCGGTGGCTGATTAAAAAAATTTCGAGCCCCAACTAAAAAATTTATCGCCGGGGGGTCGTGCCGTAAACCACCCTTTTCCTGGAATATCTTTGCTCTTATTTTATAACGCATTATGCAAAGTTCTGGTCGTTAAATTTTTCGACGCGAAACATTCCCTCGCCGATAGAAGAAGGAAAAAAACGAAAGGAATCACTAACCTTCTTAAGTCACACGAAGTTACCAAACTTTCCTACCCTCTCGAACTGTCCCCGAACTATAATCGAAAAGATAAAAATCGGTCCGCGTAAAATCCCGAATTCACGGAGGGCTGGGGAGAAAAACTTTCCGCGAGCTGTTCTTTTTTTTCTCTGGGGAACAGTGTCTCTCAATCTGCGGTCAATTTGAATATACGTGAAATACAATTCGAATTTTGCCGAAGGTTTTCAACGAGCAATTAAAACGTTCGTTGTTTCAGGTTCGAGAAACCCCCAAAATTCGAAATCTATGAACGAAAGAAAACTATGTCGAAAGAACATGCCTAAATAAGAGTACGAAGCAGAGTTAGGAAAAACTAAACTTACATCGTTGTTACATCATAACCTAGATTAAGAAAACTATTCTTTTTCGAATTCTGAGGATGGTAGGGAATCTGAAACCGAAAATGTTTAATTACTAGCTGGGAACCATCGGGAATCATGCACAATGTATTAATTAACAAATATTATTTGTCGTATTTAAAATTGAAAAATTAAATATCTTCTATAATAATCAAGCTATTGAGAGATAAATTTCCATAATTCCGTGTTCATGGTTCCCCATAAAGATGGCTGCTCAACCCGTTACAGGCACCGTTATCTTCTTTAGCATTTCCCTTTCAAATGAAGCTTCAACTTTCAATATTCGATTCAATGTGTAGATATTTATTCAAATTTAATTGATGCACAGACACGTGCTTCTTTCCCTTCGAACAATATACCTGCGCCATAAATCGGTTACGAAATGTTTAATTCTCGCTTTTTGAATTGAATAAATTCGAAACACTCTCGAAGTGGACCTGCACGATACGTTCACGTCGTTCCCAAAAAATGTTCGAAGCCCCTCTCCGCGCAATTACAAGCGAGCAATTTCTCGGGGAACGTCGGAATTGGATGCACGGGGGCGTCCAGAATCGATGAATCGCGGAAACAGATTCGTCTGTGGGGAAATCGTGGACCGTGAGAAACGCGCGGAATCGCGAAAGGTGGATAGCCAGTAAGTTTCGGAGCCAACTCACCGGCGCAACTGTATCCATTTTTATGAAGAATGTAGCCGTCCCTGCAGTCGCACTCGTACATTCCATCGTGAAGTTCGTAGCAAAGCTGCTCGCAGGGAGACTCGTGCCCGCATCTTCCTGCAATGCAAAGAATTGCCTCCGTGAGAGACTTATTTTTATACCCGCGGAGACTCCGAGGCGGAACAAACGAACGGCGATAAAACAAATTCAGAAAGCATTCAACCTTTCCAGCCGAGCGAACGAGCCTCGAACGGGGCCAGATTCGCAAATTCACGTTCCAACGAATTTAAAATATATCAATCGAAAGCGCGATTCGAATGGAGGGGAGAGAGGGGGGGGGGTGGCAAACCGGGAATTCGAATTTTATAAAAATTGCTCGACAAGGAATCGCAATTTTATTTTGAAATTAATCCATCACCATCCATCCATCACTGTCCATTAAATTTTTATTTAACGATATTTTCACTTAACTGGATATGGGGCACATTGACACCCCTCCGACGACTGAAATTTATTTTATTTCTGATCGATATTACGCGATGCAATTTTTCAATCTTTCTTATTCTTTGATATAGAAATGGTCCATGATGCTAGTTTAACAACTTCACGTTCATATTTTTCGGGTTGACCAAGAATGATCAGTTTTCTTTTTTGCACTTGTTTCTAAGCTATATAGAAATGTTATTTTTGTTAATTACAATATTGTATCTAACGTATAATTTATCAAATATCATTTTTCGAAGCAGTCAGATTCGGGCATGAGCGTTAAGAGGGTCGAAGAAACAAAATTATTTCGAAAGTGATCTCTCGAAACGAAACATTTCGAATTCCCCAGGGAACCACACGTTACCACGAATTGTGAAATGACTTCGCGGCGGAATTATTAAAAAAAAAACGTAAAAGAGGACTTGGTTCGCGCCACAGTGGCCACACCGTCGCCACGAGAGCCGGTTCAACCGCGGTTTTTTCCAAGACACAGTCGCAAGATTTCCCGGTCCAATTTATTCGAACAACGGGAATGGAGGAGGGGAATCATAGGGAAGCCTGTTCGTAACGAGCGGCAAATTAAAACGCTCTTCGCATGGAAATTTAATCGTTACGTTTCGCGGGAACCGCGTACGCGAGAAACGCAGATACGGTGGAATATTCTTTGTAACCGGATGGAAAAATTAGTTTCCTTAACAACGCGTTGGATTCATACATTAATGATAGATTCGACCGTAAAATAATTGCACGTTCGTTGCAACCCCTAATATCGACGATTTTATCAGTGAAATTCAATATAAATTGCAGATGAAAATTATTTGTGAATCTTGTAATTTGAAATATGGAATCTGAAACTGGACAATGAACAATTTTTTACTGATTATTTTCTTCATGAAAATTTGTGTAGTAGAGTATAGATTCATAGTATGATCAATTAAATTCGACATAAATTAGAAGCAAATAATATTTGTGTCTCCTAACTTTATATATGGAATTTATAATAAAACTGGAAAATCGACATTGTTCCACAAATCTAGTATCAATTAATGAACAATTTTTACTGATTATTTTCTTCATGAAAATTTGTATAATAGGGTGTAGATTCATAGTATGATCGATCATATTCAACATAAATTAGAAGCAAATAATATTTGTCTCCTAATTTTATACATGGAATTTATAATAAAACTGGAAAATCGACAGGGTTCCATAAATCTAGTATCAATTAATGAACAATTTTTACTGATTATTTTCTTCATGAAAATTTGTGTAGTAGAGTATAGATTCATAGTATGATCAATTAAATTCGACATAAATTAGAAGCAAATAATATTTGTCTCCTAATTTTATACATGGAATTTATAATAAAACTGGAAAATCGACAGGGTTCCATAAATCTAGTATCAATTAATGAACAATTTTTACTGATTATTTTCTTCATGAAAATTTGTGTAGTAGAGTATAGATTCATAGTATGATCAATTAAATTCGACATAAATTAGAAGCAAATAATATTTGTGTCTCCTAACTTTATATATGGAATTTATAATAAAACTGGAAAATCGACATTGTTCCACAAATCTAGTATCAATTAATGAACAATTTTTACTGATTATTTTCTTCATGAAAATTTGTATAATAGGGTGTAGATTCATAGTATGATCGATCATATTCAACATAAATTAGAAGCAAATAATATTTGTCTCCTAATTTTATACATGGAATTTATAATAAAACTGGAAAATCGACAGGGTTCCATAAATCTAGTATCAATTAATGAACAATTTTTACTGATTATTTTCTTCATGAAAATTTGTGTAGTAGAGTATAGATTCATAGTATGATCAATTAAATTCGACATAAATTAGAAGCAAATAATATTTGTCTCCTAATTTTATACATGGAATTTATAATAAAACTGGAAAATCGACAGGGTTCCATAAATCTAGTATCAATTAATGAACAATTTTTACTGATTATTTTCTTCATGAAAATTTGTGTAGTAGAGTATAGATTCATAGTATGATCAATTAAATTCGACATAAATTAGAAGCAAATAATATTTGTGTCTCCTAACTTTATATATGGAATTTATAATAAAACTGGAAAATCGACATTGTTCCACAAATCTAGTATCAATTAATGAACAATTTTCACTGATTATTTTCTTCATGAAAATTTGTATAATAGGGTGTAGATTCATAGTATGATCGATCATATTCAACATAAATTAGAAGCAAATAATATTTGTCTCCTAATTTTATACATGGAATTTATAATAAAACTGGAAAATCGACAGGGTTCCATAAATCTAGTATCAATTAATGAACAATTTTTACTGATTATTTTCTTCATGATATAGTATTCTTTATTATAGTATTTTCTTCATGGTATAGTAGTATATAGATTCATATTACGAGCAATCAAATTCAACATAAATTAGATGCAAATAATATTTACGTATCCTCCACCTTTAAATATGGAATTTAAAACTGGAAAATCGACGTGCACGATAAATCCAGTATCAATTAACGATCAACTTTTAGCTACTAATTTTCTTCATATAGAAGTTATTTCCAGTCCCCCTCGACTCTGTGTTTTCTTACCGTTGGCTAAAAATAATAAGAAAGTGAGGAAGTGGGGTATTGAGTAACGATACGGATCGAGTTGATCCTTGGTAGGATGGGCAGAAAAAGTTCGTCGAAGTGAATTTAGGGCGCGTTCATAGTTCATGGCAGGTGTACGAACGGAAAATCGTGGGAGCCGGTTTAAGACGGTCACTATAGCCGGTGGAAACTGCCGGGGGCAATCAGGCTCGAACGGGTTCGGATGGTAAGAGGATATAGAGCGTGCCGTTAGAACGACCAGGAAATTGTAATCCTGGAGGAAGCTCGCGGTTAGGCGTGAATTATTCCGGCGAACTGGGCGGTCGCTTTGTCGATCGACCGTCGCGTTACCGGGGGTAAAATCCTAAAAGGGCGCGAAAGGAGCGACGGCTGAGCCAGCGTTTTGACGAAGCCGTAGAATAATTCAAAGATAAATGGACCGCTTCCTGCGGAGCCTCTCAAAGATATGCTTTCAAACGGGCAGCTTTATCTTGGAGAAATTGTAGCCGTTTAACCCGCGATTAAATAAACCCCCCCTCGGTTAGGGGAACTCTGAATAATCGTCGGCTTCTGAATCTGCAGCGACAGCGATCCCCGATAATTATCTCGCCTCGCACAAAATTATCACAACACGAATGCTGACGTTTCACTTCGATTCGTCAAATTTCAGCAATCCACTTGATTTTCTATCCGTAGAATTAGAATCGTTACAAACGTGGATATTAGAAATTTTATTTTTTAAGCGTTGTATTATACGTCTGTTTTGCCAATACCAATTTCAGTTGCCTCGTGACTTGTAAAAGTATGTTGAGCAATGATTTTCATGTAAATGTTACTGAAGTTACTTCTGCAAAAAGAGTTAGGCAACTTGAACAGCAATTCTCAGCTGATGCATAGCAATAGCATCCCTTTTATTCTGTCCATAATTATCAATGTTCCTCAGAAAGTTTAACGCAACTTTGTGGTGATCTTTCAAGTCTGTGAACGGTGTCTCGAACTCTGATGCTTTCTGTCACATTTGTACATAAACGAATATATTAAATTTAATTTAACTTGACTTAATTGAATATGAAATAGAATTGAGCACTTTTGGTGACTAGAAATTTGTGATAATTGAACTAGGATGCACAGGACATCGAATTTGCTACAAATTTTATTTTTAAAACCTTCTATTGCACGTCTCCTTTGCCAATATCAATTTCACTTGCCTCTTGCCTCCATTATAAAGCTACCAACGTTAAATTCGATAAAAAAACAGGTGAAAACCGCGAACAAATCTGTACCTCTCCGCTCGAAGATGTCCAAGGTATCCTTTGGGCTTCGCGTTGATCCGTGCCTTTAAGCCGAAATTAAATTACGCTCTAAATCCTCGTTCCCGCGTGCACTTCGGCGGCATCCAGGACGATCCAGGTCCCCGGCACGACTCCAGCGAATTCTGTTTACACGCGGGAGCATTGTTCCCGCGGCTCAACGACGCTCTCAGCGCGGAAGGAACGCGAGGCGGAGGGGCCAGGTGTGAATTTATACGAAAAGTCCTGGCCGCGTAAATGCGCCGTAAATCCCCCGAAGCGAAGAAAAATGGACGATTCGCTAACTCCGCGAAGTCAGGCTCCGCTGTCCCTCCGCTTTCTCCGTGCGTTTTTACGGCTCCGTCGCTGGAATAAGTTCGGTGGCCGCCATCTCGACCTCTCGCGAGCCACCCACGACCGCGTCTTTCGCGCTGTTCGAGTAATAAATAATGATAAACCCGCGGGCCAGAGGTAACGCCTGGCACTGCCGCGGGCGAATATATTCGCGGGTACGCCTCCCGGCGTTATTTATGGCAGCCGCGAAAATAATTCAACGTTTTCGCGGGCACGATCGGTACGTGATAAACGCCGCGCGGTATCGATTGGCCAGCCCGTATTACTTCCGCCTAGAGCCGGTTCTTAATTAAAACTCGCCCCCGCGACGTCGACGTTTCGTTAACGGTTACAAGCTTTCGGGAAGATTACGGTCCCCCGCGGAACCCCCCTGGCCGCTGTA